TTCATTATGCAGTCACTGTCTTTCACTCCAAGGATGCCAAGAATCATACAAAATATGGTTATGGTTTATGTATATCAGCAAGACCACAAAAGATACCTCACTTGAGAGTACCAGAAAAGTTCAAAAACATTGTTCTCGAATGAATATTTGTATTTCTGCACTATATAATAGATTAAAACGGCACATGATATCTTTTCAATGGTACATCTCGAAAGGTTTCTCCTAGTAGTGTCATCCTAAAACTAATTTGGGTATCATCACGTTTGTTCATTGAAGGCAAGTTAAAAAGAGGTTGGAATATACTATGCAAGCAGGTTGCCTATATAACTAAATGTCATTACAAAACACACTGGCCTAGCTTCCTTCCTTGTAAAGATATAGGGTACTGAACGCTTCATGGATAAAAACATAGTGATGCAAACCAAAGAGAAGGAAAAACCAGTTAACCTACTTATGTTAAGTTTCTCTAAGAGCATTTGAGATCCTCCTGGGTGGCGCTGTGTAATGGCTTTACAGCAAATGATGCATACAGTCTGAATTTTTCTGGGTTTTACATAGTTGCATGATGTGATAAAAACTTCTGATTATCCGGAACTTTAGTACACTCAAAGTCTGAAACAAATTTTATCATACTATTTTGACATGCAGGTAAATACAATTCACAACCACAGGAAATGGGCTTAAATAGATCATTACCACAACCAGACAAACAGAAAGCAATGGGCAAATAATTTTTTCCTTACCTTACCTCATCAACAAAACTTCTATTCCGTTGTTTCCAAGTGCCAAACACCAGCTACTGAACGAATCACATTACTGCAGTGATTTTATCCAGATTCTAAAAACCATGTGGAAGTATAAATGGATCTTCAATAGCCATATTTTAAACTGACCAGAATTGAAAAAGGAGGTGAATATTTGCATATATAAACTGATTTAAACTGATAATTGAAGCTAGAAAACAAGGTAAATTACCGGCGGTCCAAAGGGGAGAAGGAGGCCGGCAGTCCGAAGGGGAGAAGGGGAGCGAGGTGCCCGTTCTGGTAATGGGCGACGACTGCTGGTTCGACTTCGTCAAAGTGGAGGCAATCTGAAGTCTGGAGAGACTAAACATTCAGCATTGGAGAAACTGCAACCTGAGAATATCGCAAGCACTCACATATGACAAGTTGTGTTCATTCATAATTTCAGTTATACATAAATCACCAGGCACAACGAGACATAACAGTGATATTCTAACAGGGGCTGCGTAAGAAAAAACCCGAAGTGCAGATAAAGGATTATTCCAAGGCCTTGTGTGACCCCAAATGTTATTTGCGAGCCCTAGTATGCAACTATATCCTTTTGCTAAATCCCGAACCATATCACTAACCGTAACTGAAGAACAGAAACAACACGAAAAAACAACACCATCAGATCATAACGCACGTACACCTATAAACCAGAAAAATGCATCACAAGTGTATGCTCAGTTGCAAACATTGTACTGCTTCTCTCCCGACAGGCCGTACTCGCTTTTCTGGGCGACGATGTAGAACAGCATGCAGGACACCACGATGAAGCGCCAAGAACAACGAGAATGAGGACGTAAATCCTCCCGCTCCCGTTGGGATCTTCTTGGGCCGCAACTGATGACATAATTCGCCGCACAATTGTCTGAGGCGGCTGATCGCGGTGCATAGACCGCAGGCACAGGTGGCGTGACGGCTCACGTCCCTGATCCTGGAGGTCTCGATGCTGTGCGGGCGCTCGGGCTGACCCGTGACGTCCCTTAACCAACTCCAAGCCGAGGAGCCGCGGGCCACATACATGAGATGCTCCGGCAAGCTTTCAGCGTCGGTTGTGTCTACCGTTTGCGCTGCGGGCTGTGGCCATTGCGCTGGCAAAAGTTGATGCCCCCGTGGTGACGGAGCACTTCGTGGAGTATTGCTTTCTACTTCGCGACAACAGGCGACGACGGGAGTCAGGCGGCATGGCGTGTACCGATCAACATGCGCTAGTGATGATAAATCACTCTCATCCTATCAGATGAATTAAGAAATGTAACCAAGAAGGCAAGAACTGGATGCATCGGATTGCTGATCTTACTGAAGCAAGCCTGTTTCTGCTGCGGGTCGTCTCCCAGCCCGGCAAGCTGATCGCCGCCGGCCATCACAGAGACGTCTTCATGCCTGACTTCCGCCGGCGCCGACACCGAGGATGACGATGCGCCAAGAACAGGGCCTCTGAACTGGCGCCATCGTCAGCTCCGGTGGCGATGGATGTCGTGTTGCGAGTCCGACTCAGGCTGTTCCTGCGCCAAAGAACCAAGAAGAACGTCAAAAACAGAGTATTTTGTTCTTTCGGGGTCGCCCGCCGCTCTGGACCACCAATCCCGCACCATCAGTCAATTCCCTCAAGATCGTGCTTCTTGGCACCCTCAGATGCGGCGGCGCGCCAACGGAATTATACGTCTCCGGGGTGCTCTCCTGTTCGCGCTCCTTGGCGCCGGCAAGAACCGCCGTCCTGCTCCGTTTACCCCTCGAGCGGATCCATGGC